TGGGCTGCGCTCCGGCCGGGGTCGCGGGGCTTGGGTCCGGCCCAGAGCTGAGCCGGGGAGCCGGAGCCGAGCCGAGGGGGCCGGGCTGGAGCCGAGCTGAGCCGGAGTCGCTGGGGCTGGGGGTGCTCGGCCGGAACCGGGGCTGGAGTAAGCTTCTCGGCCGAGGCTAGACTGGGTGGCGCCGCTCCTCCCCGGAGCCCTTCTCGCACCCCCCTGCCACCCCAGCTTACCTGGTGCTGCCTGCCCGCCCCTGCTTCTTTTCAGACTTCCCGAGAATCTCTGATTCGCGGGAAGCAGGGGAGGGGACGGAGCAGGGGGTGGAGCGTTCAGCGGAGGGGAGGAGGGGGAAGTGAGCTGGGGGCGGGGTGGAGAGCTGCGGCATGGGGCCCGATACAACAGAATCGGCTGAATCGGCCTAAAGCTGGCCCTAGTTCCACCATTCCCAGAGGGCGTTGTTCCCTATGTCCCCTAAGTGCTGGATAACGATAATGTCTTTTGCTCCCCCTTATATTTTCCAAAGTCTTTTTTCTCTTTGTCTCAAGAGCCAGCAAGACTTCTGGGGACAGGTTCGGAGTCGCTGGTGCACTCACTAAATTGCTGTTGCTTGTTAGGTTGATTGCTTTATTTACCTTAAATGTTAGTGAACTTTCATTATTCTCTGCCTGTAACGAAGCTGGTCAGACACTGAATCCACCTTCCTTTTTCTAGAGCAGGCCTTGTTTATGCAGTGCCTCCCAGATGCATTTTAAGAACATATTTCGAGCACACATCTATAACTCTTTGTACACCACCCATACCTACAGCACGCAATGATTTTGGGGATCAGCACATCAAGAGTTTCCATACGATAACTAACATGACACCTTTTGGATACATATTATGACAACAGTGTGCTGGGAGAAACGAGTGCGTCAGCCCTGATAGGAGCTAGAGGATAGTGAGTCTTCTGCCAGTCGGCACTGAGGGGCTCTTCAGGTCACATGAGCCTGCTGTGCACTACAGCCCACGTGGACCCTGCTGATGCATAGACGCAGTTCTTTAATGCTCTTTGCTTGGGTCCCGTATCAAACAGGACTACATCAGCAGAGTCCACAGGGACATTTAGAGCACAGCAGGCTAGTGCAAGGTAGAGTCACACCCAAGCTTGCCACACAGTAAATCTTCATGTGGACAAGCCCAAAGCAATTTTAGACAAAAGGCAACATTTCAAATCAGGCTTATTTTTAATGACTTGTGTCTCACACACAAGTTGATGACCTTCCTTCACACTTCGTAGCAACTTTCCAATTAGCCCTCAGAGGGAATCTGGGGATTTTCAAAGAAAATACATTTTCCAAGGCAAAATATCATAGGGACTAATATAAGGCTTTAAAACAGAAATTGGTGACAACCTGAATCATGGAGAGGTACTTTGTCTTCATAATAAACAATATTGTAGACTGACTCATCTTGGAGAACCCCAAAGATGCAGATAAAAGATCTTGTATAAGATCAGTCACTTTTCTATTCGGATAGGTAAAATGCAGTCCACAGCTTTCCAGTGTATTACGTGGGTTACAGATAAGAAACTGATCTTGGCCCTGGCTCTCTTGTTTGCACAGGTTAATTCCTTTCACCACCCGTATAAAAATACTGCACTCATGGTCCCAAGTCTACAGCGTATATTAGCATCAGCGGAGTGTTTTGGACCATCCCTGTATTGTTGTTTTATAAGTGCAGGATTTCCCCTTTTACTTGGTCTGTTCACTGAGTTGGTTAGTGTCAATACTTTTTTTTAAAAAGAAATTACAGTGCTCAATTGAATAAAAGACATTCATAAATCGGAAACAGTATTTCCTGGCAGTGAGCTTGATCCCACTACACTCTGTGATGGACTGTGGTGTCCCAAAGGAGTGCTTAAACCTAGATAAAATGAACAGATAGAACTCCTGAAAAAGTTGTATATCCCTGTGTATATCTTCGGCACCTTTCTGCCCAGAGTCCAGTGTGGTGGAGCTCACTGAACTGAAACTCCAGGAAAGCAGTCGGCACTCCAGGGCTCTGTACTAGTTTCCATAAAGTCAAACAATCCTCAGGCCCCTAGTCCCTAACTCCCACCCACCCTCTTCCTCTAAATCCAAAAACAGGCTATAAAAGATGCAATATGTTTAAAAAATTGTGTGTTTGTGCTGCAGAAGGTCAATTGACCCGTTGAAGGAAAATCACTCCAGGGTAAGAGAGACAGAGACCAGACATAGGGGACGGAGAACAAGTGTCCTTATAAAACAACACTAGAGCAAAACTCCAGCAGACGCTGCAGTGACAAAGTCCTCAGCTGTAATGTATGAGCCCATCACTGTAGGAAACTGGAGTGTTTATTCATGTGGGAGCTGAAAGTCACAGAGCTGGGGACAGGCTTGAACTGGTGATAAAAAGAAATGTTTCTGCTGAGCCACCACCTACACACTTAGCAGGTTCCTACTGGATTTTACTCACAGCCCCAGCAGAAAGGGGACTGGACCCTTTCCCCATGTATCTGACCTGCCCCCGTGGGCCTTTCCCCAGTGATACAGACTAAAATTGCTATTCACATTGTTTCTTGACAGAACCCTCCTGAGGACCTGAAAAAGGCCCATTTTCAGCTACATCTGCTCCAAGCTACAAGGCTTGAACTGGCTTTGGAGACACTGCCAGGGATTCTGGAGACTGAGTCAGCACAATCTGCCCACTAGCATTTTATTTATGAATAAAATGTAATGTAATACATTATATATATTTTTAGTGTCAGTTTTTATATAATTATTGTAGCTCATCACCTGGCTATGGTACTAAAGATTAAACTTTCATTCTAAAGCCCTTTGTCCTTTGCTCACAGTTTTCTCGTGTTTTTTTTCTTTTAATGGCAGTTTAAATAAGAGAAACATTCTCTAAAGTTAGTGATGCTCTCTGATGAAAGTATTGTTTGATATTCAGCCTTTCGAGATTTAAACTTGTTGTTAAAAGAACAGGAGTACTTGTGGCACCTTAGAGACTAACAAATTTATTAGATCATAAGCTTTCGTGGACTACAG